ATAAAATGAATTTTTGTAAAGATGCCAGGGAAGGACTGCGTTTTTAAATGGAGAGCATTGTGTGCACCATTAATTGCTCCTGTTTCCCTGGTAAGAGAACAATGGTAAATTTGAGACAAAAAGAGTGGAAAAACAAGTAAAACTGCCTTGAAAAGTTTAAAATGCTTCCTAAGCTGAAGCATGTGTTTCTATTTGCCGGTAACATTTCAAGAGCAAAATTTCCAAGGGCCAGAGATAAAATTTATCTTTGCGCTGGATGCTTGCCTAAACTTCACCGTATTCAAGGACCGTGTTGTCCGTGTTCACAAAGACAAATAATTATATTGACAGTTTATCAGGTTTACAATCCCAAAGCTAGATAGCCCCCTGTTGACTTTTTAAAGTTTTTATTTACTTATTTGTTTGGTCTTGTTTTGTTTCTGAGTCAGTGAAACAAACATTCATGTGGTTTAACATTCAAAGAATAGGTAAGGAAATACTATGAAATATCCCCTCCCTCTGCCAATTTCTGTCCTCCAGCCATTCAGTTCCACTCCTCAGAGCCAACTAATGTTAACCAATATCTTGTTTCATGCACACCTTACTCTTTACCCAATTTTCTCAATGTGAGAGTCTAGGAAGCAAGGGTTTCCTGACTCTTTGGCTATGTGACCCATAGGATGCTCTCCTTTACACAAGACTCGAGTGGAATCCAACCCCAAGGGGTTTAGGAACAAGTATTCCTCGAAACAGCAAACATCTGCCAATGCCTAATTTCACTATTCTGCACTTCACTGGCCAGGCAGCGAAATGCCTCGCCAAAGACTTTGTGAGGGGGGAGATAACATTCTGTGAGGGTAAATACGGCTATTTCTCCTCCAGCCAACTTTACTGACAAGGTCACACAACTGCATCTTTGTTCCTGTCCAGAGAGCTCGGCAGTTGGTGCTACAGAAAACCTTATTGCTGATATCACTGGGGATTTATAGCGGAGAGTAACTCATGCTTATTTACATATTGGCCTGTCCACATGCTTTTCATTTATGTGTATGTGTGTTGTTTCTCCAGCCGAAATAAGTTCCTAATACCTAAATCCTTTGTACCCTCACTGCCCCCGACACCTGGAACTCAGCTCCTGTTTTCTCACATTGCTTGACAACCTAGGAATGGACTTTTCTTCTAAGTATCTTTCAAGTACGCCTCTGGGTAGCTCCTGTGGAGATATGCTGTCAGCATGAGATATCATTCTCATCCTCATTAAGTTAGACATGTTTCTGGAGAGATAAGAATTACATGTATTAAACAGGGACTGTAGTTAACAAAGTGCTAAATTAAGGTGGGCTTGAGGAGGATGTGGTTGAAAAAAGATTGATCATCCCTGTTTTCTCTAGAGGTTAAATTATAACCATTTCTAAATTTTCTAATTATCTTGATTCTTAAGGCTTTAGTTTATAGGTTTGTTAATATTAGAAACAAATTCTGTGCTTCTTCCTTTTCTTGGAAATCTTGTAGATTCTATTGGACAATACCCTCCTCATCCCTAAGACCTCCTTCAACCTGAGTAACTACACCCAAACAGGACATTCCAAATAGGGCTTTCCTTAGGAGGGGACAAGGCAGTTCTGCCAACTCTGTTCTACTTCTATTATCTGGAAGTCTTGGTTCCTGGACATAGGCAGGAAGCTGGGTGGCTCTGATGTGTAAAACCATGAACTTTGCCAGTCAGGCACCAGGAAAGAGATGGGTGCCCCTAAGCAGAGCACATGGCAATAAAGGCCTACAGGACTTCCTAAGGTTAAACTGGGGACCTGAAGTGACAATGGCCTTGTGATATATGCCTGATTTTTTTTTTAAAGATCCAGCATGTGTTTTCCTCAACACAGCATTTCTCTCCATTCTGGAGGGAAAGGAATTGTGCTGATTGTTTGGTTTTTAAGTTCCCTGTTAGAATGAAGGAGGATGGAAGAGTTGTCTATGAATTTTTATTATAACAAGAGTCATTTATTTTTAAAATAGCAAAATCAAGCATTAGCTTTGAATTAAAAAAAATCCACCCAAGATTATCCATTAAAAAAATTAATCTGAACTCTACATGACTTTGAAGCAGGAATAACATGATGACTGAAGAGACTATCTGGGCCCATTATGAAAGGTTTTTGGATGAAGCTTAGGAACATGCAGTAGGTAAAGTAGTAAGTGACAAGTCCACTTTATTACCTCCAAGGATCCAACTCAGCACAGAAAAGATTGCATCAAGATGATGGCAGAGTCAACCATTTGACCCCCATAGTATAAAAAGAAACGAAGTTTGGTGTGCTTAAGATGATTTCTTATAAACATTACTAATGGTGAAAAATTCAGGCAGCATCCACATAGATCTCTTTGCAAGTTTAAATTGAAATGGTGGCATTGGGTTGGCCATGTGGAGAAAGCTATCAAGAACTGGACTTCCCAACCTTCCCTCTCAGTGCCACTACTCTCCAGGATGTGGTTGCAAGAGTAAAGTAAAAAGAAATTTTGCCAGCTGGCTGACTGTTCAACAAAGCTGCTGATGGGACATCACTAGTATGCCAAGGTCACAATGGGTCCAGGTTTACCTCTCAGATTCTGGGAAATGAGTTCATACTAGCCAAAAGCAAATAAACTAGCATCCAGAGAGAGAGAAATGGAGAGCTCAGAGGGAATGAGAGTTCTTGTGCCAACCAGTCAACTCACTCTAGTCTCACCAGGACACTATTTGAGAAACCAAATTAAGGTTGTTAAGTAAACAATGTGAGCAAAGGGAGGCAAGGGATGCCAAAAGTTAATATAACCACACTTGGAAAGCCTGCTGCTGCCCTCTCTTGAAGACCTCTGCCAAGAGACCAGAGTGCTTGGGTGGATGAGTTAAAGCATCCTGGCATCCCTTTCCCTGCAAGGCCAGGGATGGAAGCGTATATTTAGACAAGAAGTCTCAAGTATAGTCTGGAGACGCCTGGGGGTCTCTGATATCCTTTTGGGGTGTCTGTGAGGTCAAAATTATTTTCATAATAATACTAACATGTTATTTGCCTTGTTACTTTTCTTCTCTCCCAAGGCTACGGTGGAGTCTTCCAGAGGTTATATGACATGTGATAATACACAATGTGTATTACTGTGTTTATAACTTTCTCCATTTTAATTTCGAATGCGATAAATATCAGTAGATATAACCCACATTTTTAAGAAAGATCTTTAGGGGGCACCTGGGTGGCTCAGTCAGTTAAGCTTCCGACTCTTGATTTTGGCTCAGGTCATGATCTCAGGGTCATGAAACTGAGCCATGCATCGGGGCTCCACACTGAGCATGGAGCCTGCTTAAGATTCTCTCTACCTCCCCTCTACCTCTCACTCTCCCCTTCCCCGCCAGCGCTCTCTCTCTCTCTCTCAAAAAATTGAAAAACTTAAAAATTTTTTAAAAAAGTTAAAATAAATTAAAAGATCTTTAAGTCTTTAAGAGTTTAAGAGTGTAAAAGTTTCCTAAGATGAAAAAATTTAAGAACCACTGATACAGACCACCATTCTCAGTCACCACACTAGAACATTGGCAAACACCAGGATGTTATTCTTTTTGATGAAATTTTAGAAATACCCTTGTACTCCAGGCGGGGATTTTTTGAGATTTAGGAAGCATTCTATCTGAGTAGGTATATAATATCCAAATTACCTCAAAAGCTCCAAATAATTGGGGCGCCTGGGTGGCTCAGTTGGTTAAGCGACTGCCTTCGGCTCAGGTCATGATCCTGGAGTCCCGGGATCGAGTCCCACATTGGGCTCCCTGCTGAGCAGGGAGTCTGCTTCTCCCTCTGACCCTCTTCCCTCTCGTGCTTTCTATCTCTCATTCTCTCTCTCTCTCAAATAAATAAATAAAATATTTTTTAAAAAAAGCTCCAAATAACTGTGCTTGGGACATGTATCTCTCCCTAATTCAGGGGTATAGGTACCCCAAATCCTTTTACTGGATACATTAATTTGCAAAACAAAGAAGAAGAAACATTTTTATCTATGATTTGTCTGTCCTTCAGCAATGATCTGAAGTGGGATCATAATACATGCGTGCCCTGAGAGGAAGTACTTACTATTTTTGGAGTTATTGAACTCTAACTGAACTGAAACCAAGAATCATAACCTACCATAAATATAGGGCCATCGAGCGAGTTTTCCTAGTTTTGGGGGGTTGTTTTTAAATGTGTGTGTGTGTGTGTGTGTGTGTGTGTGTGTGTGTGTGTGTATAAGAAATGAGGTCAATTTAGGTACCAGGCCATTTGTTAAAGATTCCTGAAGCCCATTCTTCAAATACAGTCAGCACAGAGGTTGGTTCTCACATGTGGGTCCAGTGTCCATTTAGCCAGGATCCTGTGATTCCACAAGGCCACTGCATCCTAAAGAATGGAAGGGATCTTTTTTCATAGGAGCCCTCCTGAAGCTGAGTATGGAGCATTTGTGCCTATAAATATAATATTTGCAAGTCTAGAGTTTTCCTCTGTCTCCTTCACATTGCTGACACATGGACCAAGACAGAGTTGAAGGTAGACATTCTCAAACCAAAGTAACGAAAGAACAAAATACAAGCATGTGATTTAGATATGAATGAGCAAAGATCAGATGAATATCTGATAATACACAGGACACTAAATGAGGGGGACAAGACCAGGCATGTTTTCTGTCCTCGAGAGTTGCAATCACTAAGCACTTGTCATTTTCCCATTGTATCACAGTATCCTGTCATCTACCAGTGAAACTGACAGAGATAAGGACAGGAGGGTGACCTCCATTTCTCTCCTGTATTCATAATAGGTTGAATTCATGAGAGACCTCCAGGAGCCATCTCTAGCCCCCTGCCCTGAAGAAGAGCTGAAAGATAATTCAAGTCTTAGAAACAGAAGGATGTTGTCTATTATAACACAGTTAAAAATCTTAAGAAAATAATAAAATTAATGACACCCAAAATGTTCCATTTTAATCAGTAAATCTTTATAATCATGGCAATTAAATCACTTGTCTTTAGGAAAATGAGAAGACAATGGCAAGAGCTAGAATTCGAGCAACTTACAACAAGGGAAAAGTGAGTCACCTTTTTGGTGACAGGAGGGAATTAGGCTAATATGCCTGAAACTGCCTTGGTTAACTTGTTTTCTCTCTGTGAGTCTGGAAGGTGAAGCTCCATAGTGAGCTCTGACCACTCACTGCCTCATTGTCTTGCCCTTTGGCTCCTTTCTGGGCAAGGAAGAGAGTTGTGTGTCCCGCAGAGTTGCGTAGGTATCTGCCAACAGTCCGTGGAAGACAGCTGTCCTGGGGCCCAGAATGGGCAGTCTGTAGTGAATACTCTCTGGAGGACAGTGCAAGAAGAAGGAAAAACAAGGGCTTCTTAGAATCTATTTTTAAAGAAGTTCAAAATGTCAAAAGGTCACCAAAGACTTTTTCAACCTTATAAAACAGATTCAAAATTCACCTAAGAATTCCTTTTAATAGAACCATTTTATCCTGCACAAGATTTAAGCTCCTATAAATCTTGTTGAAGAGGTCAGAAAAGAGAACCTAGAAACAAAACTCAAGAATTAGGAGTCATTGCCAATTAAATAAAAAGTGAATATAAAATGTGTCTGGAGTTATAATGTGGGTTGAAGGGAAAAGAAGATTCAATTCTCAGGATAGGGTAACTGGGTGATGGACATTAAGGAAGCCATGTGATGTAATGAGCACTGGGTATTATATAAGACTGATGAATCACAGACCTGTACCTCTGAAACCAACAATACTTTATATGTTAATTAATTGAATTAAAATTTTAAAAAATATATTAAAAAAAGAAGACTTTTCAGGGACACATATATGGTTCTACTTTCAGAAAACAAACATGATCTTACGAAAAGTCTACAATAGTACTTGTATTTCAAAAGGAACCTTCATTTTATGAAATAATTTAAATTAGCGTTCTTTAAAATCCTCATCATCCTGACCTCTTCTTCAAATGTGATTTTATTTACAAAAATGTTGGTTAATATTCAGCTTTTCCAGAAGACACATTGCTTGAAGGATAACGTCTTTCTATTGGAAGTCACTGAATGGAAGGGAACTGGAGTCCTGAATTCTCTGGAAAAGCCCCTCACCCAGCTGGATGAGAGCTAAGAGATGTCACAAGACCACAAACCTAGGATCTGGTTCGGTCTCATCACTGTAATGAAGAGGAAACAGAGGTCCTGGGTCACAGGCACCGATGTTTATTGACAACAGGAGCCTGTACGTGTCATGGAACTCTGGATTGGAAGCCAGAGTCAAGATAAATGAATCCGGAAGAAATCCCCATAACTTATGGAGATAGGCTCTTTCTGTTTACTTAGTTCTCACTAATAATTACTGATAACATATAAGGGTTAGCTGAATCCAGAAACGTACTAGAAGTCACTGTTGTGATCAAGGAGAGGAGTTAGACAATGATTGGCAGTTATGTTCATTGGGATGAGTCAGCCATGTGGTATTTGTAGGATGACCACAGGCAAGGCAGCACAGGTGGGTGGCAGCTTCAGCAATAAGCAAGTGCTGTAGCAGGGACACGTCTAAGCTGCAGAAACCTGTGGGGCCAGGGCAGTGTCAGCAGTTTTTCTGGGTTGATCAAAGGTGAAGACTTCTCATACTGAGTGTCTGGCTCTCAGGGGCGGGGGAGGAGGAGCGCTGGGGAGACGAGGGGGGGGGGGGGGGGGCGGCAGAACGTTTCTCTGGCTTTACGGGTGGGAAGCCAGAGGCCCAGACAGTTTAAACAGTTTGGCCAGTCCTGTAGAGCAAGACTAGGACCTGAACCCACGTCTCCTTGCTTCTAGGCTAAGTGCTTTTACCTCACCTCAGAGGGCACCTGCAGGGGCAAAGCTCAGCTCAGAAATGTCACAGCTGGAATTGATAGATCTGCCAAGCTTCAGCTCCTAGTCAGCTCCAGAAGCACTCTCCCCGAAGTCCTACCTCTAAGATTGCTCTCTTGGATGGACTCTATGGGCAAGAATCATAAGATGTCCAAGAACATAATGTGCTGACCTTATGTACACAAAGTCTAGTTCTTATATTGGTGACTGAAATACACTCCCATGGTTAATAAATTGATGAAAGGCATCTTATCGCACTGCCCTGTAAAATCACAAAATAAACATTCTTGCTGAGGGAAGGGCATGTAAGTGTGTGTGTGTGTGTGTGTGTGTGTGTGCGCGTGCGTGCGCGCGCTCTACTCCTTTGTGAGGCAGGCCTGAAAAAATCCAGGTTCAAGGAAAACTCAGAATGAGCATGTGACTGGAAATGAGAACACTGAAACCAAGAGCACATGCATGTCACCCAGTGTTCTCTTGGCTTCCAGAGAATGAGGTGCTCACACACCAGCGAACAGCGGAGGGGGAGCTTTTCTTGGATGGATGTTCCTAGCTCTTGGCTCTTTAGTTTCACTTTGGCTAAATGAGAGCCAGGAGGTAGGCCAATATTTCTGGATACCTAAGAAGGGATTCACTGGGCCTGGCGGTCTTTTCCCTCCTCTCCAATGATGTGAATATCTGCATGCTTCAGCTGTTTACCGGAGCCTGTGGTCCCCCCTTTCAGCATCCCTTCCAGATATCCCTTCTATCTTCACATTTTCTCTCTGGATGCCTTTTCAGCAATTCTGGATCTAGCTCCCCTGTCGATGGAGCTTAGACTCTCCCGTTTGTATAAAGCAAAGAAAGGGATCTCGATTTTCCTTCTTGTGTATATTAAATGAGAGAAAAGCCAGAGGTGGCCTCAGTTAATATGGGAGAAATGAGAAGATGGATAAACTTACTAACATAACAGCCTCTACTGCACCAACCCCTTGATCTGTATCCCCCCAAAGAATGACCTGCACCCACCTTCACCAGCTCAGTGGTGACATCTCTAAAAGATGAGACATAGGTCGATGCTGAAGCTGGAGCTGGAGCCGATATCCTTGTCTATCAATAGCAAGTGGACATAAGAATAGCGCTGGGCAGCTGCCAGAAGGCAGGTGGTTTAGGAAGGCTGTGGGGTGGGAGGTTCAGGGATTTGGAGAGGCCATTCCAAGGATGTGGGGATGCACTTCCTTTCCCACCTTAACTGCCTGAAAGGGAATTACCTACTTTGTGCCCCATTTCCGTGAAAATTCTTCAGCAAGTAGATATGAGGCTCTTTAGAAAGAATGAGGCAGATCCCTGTGGCATGGAGAAGACCTGGGAAGGAGCTTGGCACAGAGGTCAGTGAGGCCTGGGAAGGGGCCAGGTGGGGCTGGCCTGAAGGGGGGGCTGGGGGGCAATCAAAACAGGCCATAAGCAGTATGTGAAAAGAGAAAGGGGCAGACAGAGGGAATTTGTTCGGAAAATTTAGAAACTATCTTAGGGATTAAACTTTTCATCCTACTACTCTGGAGGTAGTATGTCCCCCACTACAAGTACTCCGAACACAAACCTGTTGAGATGTCATTATGGGAACATTTGGATACAGTCTGAGTTTTTGGTGGAGGAAGACTCATCATTCTGTTTGGAAGAAACAAGAAAACACATCAGTCATGTGGCTAAGGCTTGGTGGAAAGGAATGTGCCTTTATACATTTTAAAACACAGATGCTTTCTTGAAACCAGCACCTGTTAACCTGGTGCTCAGACCACTTTGCCACAGTCTATGATGATGGGGCCAGAGACCACTATATCTCAAGCTCTCTCACTTTAATGAATTTTGATAAAAACTTCTTAAAAAATATTTTATTCACTGTCAGAACATGTGTGGTCTAAATAGAAGGAATCAAGAATCCTCCAATTTCCAGAAAAAAAAAAAAAAAAGAACAACTCTTCCAGATCAGTAATCTACCCTGCCAAGTGCAAAACAGAATATTTTGGTTCGAACCTTCTTATTTTATTTTTATTTTTTTGCCTTAAAATCTCTTCTTTTATTCCCATCAATATTATTCTGTGAGATTAGTTTCTCTACTGTTGAATGTTATTAAAGCAAGACAGAAACCATTTAGAAATACTTTGTTGTCAATCCAACTTTGATTAAAGAAATTTTTAAAAATCTTTATTTATTTAAGTAATCTCTACGCCCGATGTGGGGCTTAAACTCACGACCCTGAATCAAAAGTAGCATGCTTTTCCAGCTGAGCCAGCCAGGTACCCCTAAATCAATTTTTATAAAGATTATTTTTATTTATTGAAATTTTTTTTAGTTTTTATTTTAATCATCCAGTGCTCATCACAAGTCTACTCCTTAATCCCCATCACCTACTTCACCTTCCAATTTTAGAGAAAATGTCTTGACCACATCTCCTATTTCTCCTGGTGGCTAAGGCTGTGGAAGTGACCCTTGACCAAAATGGTATGAGTCCAAACCATTTCTACATTAAATTGCTTAATTTCTAAAGACTGACAAATCTGCAAACTTTGATGGGATCTGCACTCATTTCATTGTTTCCATTTCTTTTTTTTTTAAGATTTTATTTATTTATTTGACAAAGAGAGGCACAGTGAGAAAGGGAACACAAGCAGGGAGAGTGGGAGAGGGAGAAGCAGGCTTCCCGCTGAGCAGGGAGCCCAAGGCAGGGCTCGATCCCAGGACCCTGGGATCATGACCCGAGCCAAAGGCAGACGCTTAACGACTGAGCCACCCAGGCGCCCCTCATTGTTTCCATTTCTACAAAGATTTTTCAAGATTATTTTTACTTTGCCACCAAAAATATGGCGCATCTGGCCAGTTTATCTTACTCAGTTGCCATTGGAGGAATCAGTGGGACTAAGGAAAAGAAAAACTCCTATTACCCATGTTGAACAAACAGGAAGGTGGTCTTTCTAAGACTGAGAAATTAAGATTTGTTTGCACTGTAATTCAACAAATATATATCTCTCCACTCATCTTTTCTTTCTCTCTTTTTCTCCCTCCCTCCCTTCCTTCTTTCCTTCATTCCTTCCATTCAACAAACATCACTTAATTTCTACAAGGGTTACAATTAAAGTCACTTTTTAAAAACTCTTATTTCGGTAAGGACAATTCTTCCTGCCTATACATAGAGAGAGACTCAAAAACCGTGAGGACAGATTTTTATAAGCTACTAACAGAACCAGGACCTTACTTTATAGTCACACTAGCTAAATCTCAAACAGAAGTGGTCTGTTTTCCTTCATTACATTGAAAAAAATGACCCATCTAATGATACTTCAGGTTGGTGTAGACATGATTTTAGGATTGGTTCAACCCTTAGTCTAGCTCAAGGAATTAAGAGTTGTTTGTTTATGTATCACATGACCTCACTGATATGAGGAATTCTTAATCTCAGGAAACAAACTGAGTGTTACTGGAGTGGTTGGGGGTGGGAGGGATGGGGTGGCTGGGTGATAGACATTGGGGAGGGTATGTGCTACGGTGAGCGCTGTGAATTGTGCAAGACTGTTGAATCACAGATCTGTACTTCTGAAACAAATAACGCAACATATTTTAAGAAAAAAGAAAAAGAAGAAGATAACAGGAGAGGAAGAAAAGGGGAGTATGTCAGAGGGGGAGACAAACCATGAGAGATGATGGACTCTGAAAAACAAACTGAGGGTTCTAGAGGGGAGGGGGGAGGGGGATGGGTTATCCTGGTGATGGGTATTGAGGAGGGCACGTTCTGCATGGAGCACTGGGTGTTATGAACAAACAATGAATCATGGAACACTGCACCAAAAACTAATGATGTAATATATGGTGATTAACATAACAATAAAAAAAGAGTTGTTTGTTTAAAACCCGCTAATGATTCTGGAATTTGGGACTTTATTTAAAATACCAAACTTGCAAGATAAATGAACTGGGGCAACAAATTTCAAAAGTTTCTGTCATAGAGGAAACTTTTGCTCGGAAATCCCAGACTTTAGATAGTTCCATTTTCTATTTAAAGTCTGTACAGAATACTTATTTGAATTACTTTTATTATGATCTGATAGAAGCTTTGAAAAAGTTGCAGGTAAATGTTATCAGTGCTGGAGCGTGTTGTCCTCAAACACACTACCCATTCCTCCTTGACCCTGTCTCTCTGGGCCAGGCACCCAGCACATGGGTTCCATACATCTGAGTATACACTGCAGCTTGGAGCAAATTTCATAAAAGGAATCCTAACATCTACTGCTGTCCAGCATAAGGTTACAAAAAGACCTATCTATTTTTCAATATTTTGCTTTCTCTATGAGGAAAAGAAGTTGAAGATTGCCATTGGATCACATATAACTTTTTTGATTAGTCACATCAAATCTGACCATGTCTGTTTGCCTACATTCCAACCATCTACGGTTAGGGCAAGTCTACCTACACTGGTGCTTTAGCCAGGGTGAGTCTGCATTTCGAGTTTTTTAATGAAGTAAAAGCTTCTTTAAAGTCCTTTTTCCCTTTCTGATAGTTAAATATGGGGGAGGGGAACCCTGAAATCCAACTAATCAAAATTCTGACTGGATTTTATTTTTTATATACTTGATCTTGATAAGAAAGCAGCAAACGACAACCAAACTGATGACAGGAATTTTGGTTACTGAGAAGTAGCAGAGGATGTCCTGGGCTGAGAACAGATTGTGTGTGAGGTCCCATACCTTCTGAATTACGTAAGTCATCTACATGGAGAATGCGTACTCGGTTCTGCCTGAGTTACCAAAGGAATCTTGTATCCTCCTCTTTGTACTGTTCTTGGGAAGGTGGAAAGGTAGATTATACTTTCTACTGTAATTTTAATAGCTGTTCAAGCAAAAAGGTGAAAACAACTTTTTTTTGTCTCTCTCGTTTAACCAGAAAATGAAACCACTCAAGAAGCCCATTCTCTAAGCATTCCCTGAACATTCTACTTATTATGTTTCTCAATCCACTGTCCTGTGCCCCCAAACTGATATAAACAGAATTAAAATAATGTCCTGATTTAAATCTTAGACTTACCTATGACTCATAAAATTCTCAAAGGATAATTTCAGATTATGAGGGATTATCATAGTTCTTGGTTGTACCTGAGAAAGAAAGTCTCATTTAGAACATTGCCCCAAACTGTATTCCAGTTTAAATAAATAATGCACCACCTTAGCAAACTCAAGTTGTATTTAATATTAGAATCATTCATATATTCTTTTGTGATATGAATGAACAAGAGGGGATCGCCTGCCCATAAGTCATAGAGTCTATGTTCTTCCCTGGTTATCAGATTTTGAAGTTAGAAACCTCAAGATTGGTAAAGCCTCCAATTCTCTTTGTTTAGCTCACCCCCCAACATTCTTCAGGTCTCAGATCACCTGTCAGCCTCTCGCGGACACCACTGACTCCTGGACCACTGTTAGGTAGTCCTCTGCCTTACGTTCTCACCGTTCCCTAGGCTTCCTCTACCAACATACTCCTAAGGTTTTTATTGTAATTACTTGCTTGATGTCTGGTTTCCCTCATAGACTTTCAGCTTCATGGGGGCAGAGACCATGTCCCTGTTTTTGTATTTCCAAGTTCTAACACAGTGCCTGTTCAAGAAATATTTGTTGATCAAATTAGTGAATGAATGAACCCACTTTGAAGCACACTTGAAAGTTTTAAGTGTGCCCTTCCTAGTGGACTATAATAAATTACACAGTTATACCATTCCTGATTAAGACATTATTTTCTTAAACTTTTCCAGATTCGTTACTGGCACTAGATATTGGTTTTCTTTAGGAGCTCAGGCTTTCACTAAGAATCACTTTTCCCCCCAACATTTCTCAAAAGATATCATAGCCATGGCAGTGAAAAGATAATCACAAATGTGAGTGCAGGTGTTCAGTTGGGCTATTCATTGAGTGACTTGTGATTTAAATGTATGACACAATGAAGCTGCAAATTACTATGTGGTAAGGGCCTTCAGAGGTGCTTGAAAAGAGAGAAGAATCTGAACATTAGGTCTATAGAAATGCCAATCACTTACAGTATTTAATCAGATTGTTGCAACTCATCAGCTGAGGGGAAGCATCCAGGGGGAGGAAAGAAATGATCCGATAACAGTAGCATATGGGAGTAGCGAGGGCAGCAAAGGCTTTGATGAGAACCTGGTAAGAGGCTTCTAGATACTTAAAAGGGATGAGAATAAAGGAGACACACTGCCTTTCTAAAATTTCTTCTGAAATTGGCTCTGTTGCAAAGAAAGATGGTGGAAACTCTCTACCTTCTCCTGATTATACGACCCCTTTTCAAAAGCCCCTAAATCCAGCTAGTGCTATTGTATGCATGAGTGGGCTATCGGGGGCTACCCCAGAATAAAGCTACCAAGGAGAGCAGTTTTGTCCCTGAGAAGAAGTGTGTCCTGTGGGCAACTCCTAGTCAGTCTGGAAAACTATGCATTGTCTTCTTCTGGGAAGACTTCTCTGATATCTACTTCTCATGCCTGTTCACATCCTACCAGCTCTATTTCTATTTCTATTCATCATTTTATTATCATTATTTGCTTACCCATTGGCTCCTTAAAGGTAGGGCTTATGTCTTATTCTTTTATTTATTTATTTTTCCTCTGTAGCTGAGCTATTACCTAAGTACCTGGCCCATGGTAGGCAGTCAATAAATATTTATTGAAATGAACTGATGTATGTAAATAGATTTTGAGACCAATGAACATACATATGTTGGAGAACGGCTCCCTACAGTATGTCCAGCTTGACATCCTACTTTGAAGGGGCTTGCAAGTGTGTATTAGAGAGCAATGCACATAACAGAAGGACTACATAATAGATGTTTTAAGGGGAAGATGAGCTGTTTGGAGCAGACACATAATAAGAGACAATTTACATAAAACTAAGGTGGCTATCCCTGGTGACTCACAGCCATAACTTTCAGTAGGTAATTTCTTCCACACTAAATAATTGAGCTCCTGGACCAGGGTACTCATATCCAGGAGTATGAGTAGTCATGCAAAACAGGTCCTACTAGGATTTTTCTTTTTTGATATTCATCCACTTTATGCTTTTATTTTTTTAAAGATTTATTTATTTATTTATTTCAGAGACAGAGATAGCAGGAGAGAGCATGATTGGGGAGGGGAGAGAGGGAGAAGCAGGCTCCCCACGGAGCAGGGAGCCCGATGTGGGGCTCCATCCCAGGACCCTGGGATCATGACCTGAGCTGAAGGTAGACGCTTAACTGACTGAGCCATTCAAGCACCCCATTTATGCTTTTATTTTTAAAAATATTTTTTCTAGTGCTAATCTTTTTCTTTTTAATTCAGACACCTAAGATTCACCATCTCAATGTACAACTCAGTGGTTTTTAGTAGCATCACAAAGTTGCACAACAATCACCACTATCGACTTCCAGAAGATTTTCAACAGCCCAGAAAGAAGCTCTGTCCTCATTAGCACTCATTTTCATTCATTCATTCCCCAAGTCCTTGGCAACCACTATCTATTTTCTGTTTCTACAGATTTGCCTATTCTGGACAATTCATATAAATGAAATTGATATAACATGTGGCCTTTACTGTCTGGTTTCTTTTATGTAACAAAATGTTTTCAAATATTATCCAGGTTGTCGCATATATAAGTACTTTCTTTTCATGGCTGAATAATATTCCATTGTATGGATCACATTTTGTTTATGCATTCAACAGTTGATGGATCTTTGAGGTATTTTCACTTTTTCGCTATTATGAATTAATGTTGCTATGAACATTCTTGTACAAGTTTGTGTATGGACATGTTTTCAGTTCTCTTGGGTATATATCTAGGATGGAAATGCTGGGTCATATGGTGACTCTATGTTTAAGTTTTTGAGGAATTGCCAATTGCTGTTTCCTAGAGCAGTTGCATTGTTTTACATTCCTACCAGCAATGGATGGGGATTCCAGTTTCTCCATATCCTCGTCAACACTTGTTATTATCCACTTTTTTATTATGGGTATTCTTTTGGGTATCAAATAATGTCTCATTATGGTTTCAGTCACATTTCCTTAATGGTTAATGATGTTGAGCATCTTTTCATGTGTTTATTGGCCATTTGAATATCTTCTTTGGAGAAATGTTTATTTAAATTTTCTGTCCATTTTGAAATGTGTTTGTGTTTTTATTGTTGAGTTGTAAACTTTTTAAAAATATATTTTGGATTCTAGTCCCTTTTCAGATATGTGATTTGCATTTTCCCCCCTTCTGTGGGTTGTCTTTTCATGTTCTTGATGGTGTTCTTTGCAGCAAAAAAGTTTTTAATTTTGATGAAGGCGAATTTAGGTAGTTTTTGTTGTTGTTTGTGCTTTTGGTGTCACGTCTAAGAAACCATTATGTTATTCAAGGTCATGAATATTTACACCTATGTTTTCTTCTAGGAGTTTCATGTTCTAGCTCTCACAATTAGATCTTTGATCTATTTGTAGCGATTTTTTGTATATGGCATGAGAGAGGGGCATAACTTCATTCTTTTGCATATGGATATACAATTGTCTCAGTACCATTTACTGAAAAGACTGTTCTTTCCTCATTAAATTCTTTTGACACCTTTGTCAAAAATCAGCTGTTCAGGACCTCTTATTCTTATGGAGATCCCATAGTATATAATTAAATTTGATTTTCTCCTGTTAAAAAATTTTTTTAGTTGTTCACAAATGTAAGGTTTTATTTCTGGACTCTCAATTTTTTTTCCACTGATCTATATGTTTATCCTTTGTCAGTACCACAAAGTCCTGATTATTGTAGCTTTATAGTAGGTTTTGAAATCAGGAAGTGTGAGTCCTCCAACTTTGCTTTCGTTTTCAGGATTGATCTAGGTATACTGCATCTCTTGCATTTCTATATGAATTTTAAGATCTGCTTGTCAATTTCTTCAAAAACATCATATGAGATTTTGAGAGGAATCACACTGAACATGTACATCAGTTTGGGAGTATTGCTATCTTAAAATCCATAAACATGGTTTTTTTGCATTTATTTAGGTCTTCTTTAATTTCTTTACATGATGTTTTATAGCTTTTGATGTACAAGTTGTGCATTTATTTTGTTAAATTTATTCCTAAGTATTTTAATTTTTTGATGCTATTGCAAATGGAACTTTCTTAATTTCATTTTTGGATTATTTATTGTTGGTATATAGAAATAGAATTGATTTTTGTATATTGGCCTTGTATCCTGCAACTCTGCTCTACTCATTTATTAGCTTTAATTGTGTTTTGTGGGTCCCTTAGGACTTTCTAGATGTAAGATTATGCCATCTGAAAATACAGCTTTATATCTTCCTTTCCAATCTGGTTGCCTTTTATTTCTTTTTCTTGTCTTAACTGCCCCACCTAAAACACACAGTACAATGTTAAGCAGAAGCAGCAAGATTGGACATCCTGGTCTTATTTCTGATCTAAGGGGAAAATATTCAGTCTTTCTTCATTGAGTATGATGGTAGCTGTTGGTTTTTCATAGATATGCTTTATTGGGTTGAGGAAGTTCCTTTTATTTTAGGAGCCTTTTTATATCTTCCCCAGCATCTGCCTTCAGCCCCCTGCTAAGAAATGAGGGGTCTCAGTGACTACAGCAGAAATGCAGTACCCCAACCCCAGGAGGAATCTGAAGCGTTGTTGTACATAGTGAAGTAAGTGTATTTATTTCATGCTCATTTTCTAAATTCCTATAGTTTCCTACCAGGCATATGCACTGGTTCTGACTTTCATGTTTGAGGTCTTTCTTTTTGGGATCTGCAGTGAATGGTAAAACCACAGTGTGTGGTTCTACTCCAGTCAGGCCTGGGCAAGGGCAAAGGTCAGAGAAGAGGTCTTGAGAAAGAGAGCAGCTGCTGAAGTCCCAAGTGAGCCATCTGGCAAAAGTCAGCTTGGGCCCAGGGTCAGTGCATTCTAAATGTGGATACAGGAATAAGACCAGGAATAAAACCAGGAGAAATCCCAATCCCAGTTTCCCAGATTCCAGTCAATGCTAATATTGAATGCTGTGATCTTAATTAAGTAGAACGTGAACATAGATTGTAACATTCAGATACATCTTTGTCCATAGCTTCAGTTAAATTTCCAAATCCCACAGAAAAATTTCACAAAACTGCTGGTCTCTTTCATATCCTATTAGTCAAAGCACTTTCACCATTAACGCATCAGAGGCTCTCTTACGTCTCCTGATTTTCTTCTACTCCTTGCCCTTCCTCTTATTGCACATAAGTCCAGAGTCAAAGGAGAATCATAGGATATCAGAATTGCAAAAACCCTTCCTCAACTCCTACCCTAAACCTAACCGTTTAACTAAATTAAACTTCAACCCAAGCCTGACTGACCCTAACCCTAATCCTCAACCTGACCCAAGTCCTAACGCTGACCTGTACAGCATTCCTCCAGCCGCAGGCCTCTTTCTGCAGCAACTCTGATGGATGGCAGAGCTTCGTCCTTGTTTCCTCCATAACCCCTTGTTACCCTTCATCCCCCACCATTCTGCACCACCAGGTACAGACACCACCACCCCCAGCTGGAAAGCGCTAGAGGATGTCTCCTTAACTTTTATTCTGAGGTGCTGATCGAATTGATATACCCAAAGATCAAGCTGCTTGTTTCATGACTGCAATGGTAGAAGCAGGTTGTGTTGTATGGGTGTGCGTTGTGTTGCGTTGTATTGGGGAAATGTAAAGGGGGGAGAATTCCACAACCTCCTGAACCTCTACAGCAGTGTAGTTACTTTAGGCTCTCAAAGTAAAGTGGTTCATCTCATCTCTACCCCTCTGACTCACCTACCCTAACTCATCTTTTGGTTTCTTGAAAATGGAGAGGGTTTATTGCATTGTGTCAGATAATGATGCTCCCAGGGCCAACAGGTCCTTTTTTGCAGCCTTCCCTGCAAAAAGTGTTGTCTCTCCACTGGACTCTGGTGGGGGAGGGGTAGTGCTGTGCCCTGGGAGGCCCATGCTCATCTCTGCCATCCCGCTGACCTACCATTTTTATTTCTTGACATATGGAGCACAGCTGCTTGTTTCTGATCAGCATGGGGTTACTCTGGATCCTCCTGGCCTGAGGGGAGAGAGAAACAGAGGGAGGTGAGGAAACAGTGGGGGTATTCAGAGCAGCAAAGAAGGGGGACAGGGCTGGAGGAGTAAGAGAGGTAACAGTTATTCCTTCCATAAAACAGAGGGAGTCTCTGGTCTCAGGAGGTGGGATGGTGGATGCTGAGTCCTAGGTGGATGCTGAGTCCTAGGCAGATGCTGAGTCCTAGGTGGATGCTGAGTCCAGGCTTGGCTGCCGGTGGGAGGTTCAGAAAGAGTTTAGGCAGGAGGGGGTGAACCACAGACTAATCGGTGTCTAATATAGTGGTACAGGTGCAACTCACCCTTCTTCGCTCACACTGACATCAGAGCCATGAGGCATGTTCATAGGAAGAGTATAATATAGGGGAGAAGAGGGTTGGAGGGACAGACAATAACTATCACTTAAAGCCCCCGCCCCCGCCACTCGATTGTCTGCTGACCTCTTACTACATGTGTGTACCCCTGTGACCTGACCTGTTCCTGCTGCCCTGTGAGGGGTGGGGAACCAGGAGAGGAGGAATATGTCTCTGCAGTGCAGGAAGTGCCTGGGGTGTGCTCCCAGGGTGACCTTCAGTGGACTGGTCTGTGAGTAGCTTCATCCTCTGAGAGACATAAAGCATTTGGGTGAGGCACTATTATTGAAGGTACGAGGACTGAAAACTAGAGACAAAGTTGGATTCTTTTGACAAATATTTAAAATACACTTCATCTTTATAGGCCATTTAAAGAGAATCAATTGCATACTACAATGTTGTGGGTTGGTATGTTAAAACATGAGTGTGAACAGCTCGATTCATTCATTCAGCAACGGACATTTATTGTGAGGCCACCGTGTGGGGGGTGCTGGGCTGGGGCCACAGAGATAAATAAGACATTTTCTGGCCCTAAGGCAGGCCAGGGAAAAATACAAATTCACTCATTTGCCCATTCATTAGGTACTGGGGTCCCTGATCTGCCCGCAAGCCGCTTACCACTCAGCAGACTGCGTACAAGGAACTCCAATGGTGTGGAAGGTACTATGACAGAAGTATGCTGAGGCCACTGTGAAATGGAAAAAAGCCACAGAACTCACCTGGGTGGGCGGGGGGCATAGACGGAAGGGTCTGAGAAGGGCTACTGGAGCCGGCAATGCCTGGGTAGGTGTTGGTGGGGTGAACAAGTTGAGGGGAGGACATTCCAACCCCCAGGAAACACTGCAGCAGCGCAGAAGAATGACCTAGTGCATTGGCATCAGGTAACCGAGGTTAGCTGTCTGGTGAGTGGAGTGGGCAGAGAGGTCAGAGAGGCAGAGACTCCTGGGCCTTTGGCAGATTCTACCTTCTGCCAGATCTTCCCTGATCTCCTGGGGGTGGTATCTCCCGGGGTTTGGCTCCTTCTCCCATCCCTCACCTCTGTGAGTTCTGAGACTAAGATACATCTCTGAAACTGTCATCCAAGGCTGGATGCACTAGATATCATAGAAGCAGCAATGATATTTCTGGGCCTTCAGAAAAGAGAGACTACGTCCCATTGCAGGATTAGGAGAAGCTTCGAGAAGTGGCATTTACACTGAGTCTGAAAGGATGCAGAAGGCATAGACAGGTGGAGGTGGCAGTGGGAGGATCCTTGGGCAGATTTGGTTTTGGTGGAGTTACCAGCCGATTCTTGTTTTTCCTGTAGTGGATTCCTTCTCCTTTTCCAGATTTCCGGTTTCTACATAAGAATAAGAGTTCATTGCAAATCAAGCAACAGACATATCTGAGAGGCCTTCAGGCTGCATGGCAGGATCTTGCCAAGTTAATGATGGCTGCAGATGTGACCCCCGAGTTGCATAACCATGATGACCGGCATCCTGTGGGACCTGAAGACAAAATGTTTTATATATTGTCCTGGCCAGCTTTGTTAACTCCTCATCTGTTAAGACACAACTTCGCTATTACTTTCTCAGAAAGTCTTTTTCCTGGCCCTCTTATCATTTTGCACACCCCTAACCTGATTTGGGTGCTTGCCATTCTGAATCCATCACAGACTTGGTATAGCGTTTTGTTGTATTTTGTCCATTATTCTTTCTCCTTCCTTCCTTCCTTCCTTCCTTCCTTCCTTCCTTCCTTCCTTCCTTCCTTCCTCCTTTCTTTCTTTTTTAAATGTGTTTATTTCCTCCACCAGGCTGAGAGTTCTTGAAAAGCAAAAACACATCTCAAACATCTTTGCATCCCTAGAGCCCATCAAGAATCTGGCACACAGGAGGCATTCGAGCTGAGGGGGAGGGGCAGAGGGAGAGGGAGAAGCAGGCTCCCGGCTGACCAAGGAGCCCGACGTGCAGCTCAATCCCAGGACCCCGGGATCATGACCTGAGCCGAAGGCAGACACTTAACCGACTGAGCCACCCAGATGCCCCCGTAGTAAGCATTTTAAACTATCACACATAACATATACTTATATGTGTATACAAGGAAATCGAAGCAAACAATTTGGGATTCCACGTTCTGTAGACCTCCGCTTCCCCCCGCGCACCCCCACCCACCGCCTTGCTTTCTTTCCTAGCCCTGGAACCAAAGGTCTTCCCCTTCTGCAGCATTTGCTGCTCACTCTTGGTTTCCCCAAGGCCAGCTCAGCAGCAGTAGCAGGGATGGCAAGTGAACTGGCTGGGGCTTCAGAGCACAGGCCCCTGGTGGTAACATCTGCAGAGTCAGAGCCACCAAGAAAAGCAACTCTGACATGGTAAGTGGGGTTCTCATTTTCCAAGCAGCTGTCCCCAGGATGGCAGATGGCAGTTGTGATGAGAAAGTGAGAGCAACCTTTTGTAGCCCGGCCAAGGTACGACGCACAATGCAGCCGGGCCAGAAGCCAGTCTGCTCTTCATATGTCACGATGGGAGAAGTCTTAATATTTGAGGTCAATACCTGCTGAGGTTCGTAAGGTCTGGCTCATGGCCCAGGTCCTTGGCCTTCTTGAATCTTTGATAAAGAAACAGAGAAACATGTTTCTCTCCTTCTCCCCCTCTCCACCTCTCTCTCTCTCACACATACACACATACCTCTCCACATAACAAAAACTGAAAATGTAAAGGCACCAGATGGTGATTTTAAAAATAGCCCTCATGAGCATGCTGAGGAGCACTGACAAATTTGCCTCCATCTTCCCTGCCCTTTGACACCTCTGTTCCTTTCCTCCTTTCCACTCCTGCCTTCAGTGAGAGACACCTAGTGTGTCACCTCTAGTTCAGTCCTTTCTGTGAACACAACAAAGAAACTGTGACCCAGAAGGGTTAAGAGATTTGTCCAACCACACATGTATTTAGTTTCAGGGAGCCAGAAACTTCCTCGGATAAAGGGTCAAAAGATTACCTTTCCTCAAGGAGAAAGTGGATTCTGAGAATCCATATGAGGGCATAATGATTCCTATATCCCTTAGAAAAAAAAGTGGTGATCAGAGAGCTATTTTCAATATTCCAAAAAAGAACCCTCTGAAAATTACACATTTTCCTGCGATCTGAAATACCAGCCATCTCCATTAAAGAATAAAGCTGAATATAGTTTTTTTAAAAATACTCATACGGTTGACTTAGAAACATTTCAAACCTGCACAAAGTGTTATCAACAGTCATGCAGTTACCGTCCAGACTTATTAAACTTGGGTTTTATTACTGTCAGATCAGTGGTGGTCATTATTACCTCCCTTTTAAAATTGTATCTGTGGTTACATGGGTCTGGTCAATAGACCGAGGCAAAGGACTGAGGAGTAGGCAGGGTAGTTTCTGTGGTGGTCACGGGCTCTCAAAAACAGAGCCAGCGGGAGAGAAATAAGGAAACGAGCTCTTGGTGGTGAGACAATGGGGGGTTGCCCTCCTGTGCTTTTTCCCAGCCATGTCTGGGCCCCTGCAGCGTCTTTAGGCAAAGCTCTTTGTCACAGGTCTGCTGAGAGCGAGGTAAGTCCTGCTCTCCTCAGGACTCTGACTCCTGAGACTGGAACAACAAACCCAGATCAAAGAGAGGAGAGAGGCGGTGCGGGCAGGAGCCGAGGGAATGGGGCAGCGTTTTCGACTCCATTAGTTCCTGAGTAGCTCTTGCTCAGCGACACCCAACCCGCCAAGTAGGCCAAGGGGTCCCAGCGTCTCCCGCTGCAGGCCCCACGTGGCCCCCGGCCGCGCCGCCTTGCTGAGGAGCTGGGAGCCAGTCACCGCGGGGCCTCCCTTGTGCCTCCTGATAGCGCCCGGGGCTGTTCCGCGGCGTCTGGAGGAGTCCATGCCAGTCACTGGCCGGTGAACGTCCTTCCTGACAAAGGAGCCGCTCCGCAGGGCAGATGTCTAAACGGGGCAGTGGAGGCTCCATTTCTTCGTGTTCATTTTCTGTTTTTCCTCTTTGTCAGCTCTGCCTTTCCTCTGGTTTCCTTTTTTTTTTTTTTTTTTTTTTTTTTTGGCCCTACCTACTTCTCTGTGTCTCCCTCGGCTTCTGCCTTTGTGTCTGTTTGTCTTCCTCTCCCCATCTTCCAGTCTCTGAGCCTCAGTTTTCTTTCTGTCTCTCTGTCCATGGCTGAACAGTGCTGCAGACACCCAGACACCGGCCTCTACCACAGGACGGCTCCGGGGCAGGGCAGGAAGGCCACTTGGAATGTGAGTGCTCAAAGTTCGGCCCTCTGACCTGTGACTGGGAAGGGGAAGGGAGCCAGGTGGCGGGACCTTCGCACCTGTGCTCAGAGGCAGCCTTTTGGCGGGTCCCTGATTTAGAGGATAAAGGAAGAGATAGGGTGTCCACAGTGCACTCCACTCCCATCACATACAGCACAGTTTCTTTCCAGAGAGGAGCAGGTGCCTGCTGAGCCCACGTTTATCTCACCGGGTCCATGGGCAGGCCTTCGTGGTCACAGCCAACTCTGTGCAAATCTGCACACACAGACTTTGTTAAAATAATGTTTATCTTCCTTTAGCCGCCCCGTCTATTTTAGGGACTTTCCCACCATTGCCTCTCTTTGTTCAGCCTAGCAAAAAAAAAAAAAAAAAACAAAAAAAACATTCAGGTCTTGCCACTTCTCTGGGTCTTCATTTCCTTTTGAGGGCTCCTGTGTCACGTAAAACTTATCTTGAATACACGTGTATGTTTTTCTGCCGTTAATCTGTCTTACATCAATTAATTCTCTGGCGCGGCCAAACACCCTAAGATGGCAAAGGTAAACTTTGCCTTCTCTACACCTGCTTGCCTTTCCTATCTGCAGGGACAACTGTTTTTCACACACAGGCGCAGAGAGGGGGAGAGAGAGGTGGAGGATCCGGCCCCGGCGCGGTGAGGGTGAGGGCGAGATCCCGGAACTCTCCTCTCCTTGCAAGAGTTAACGACTGGCGGATTCCTGGGCTTGCCCAGAGACGGGCCTCCTCGGCTCAGCCTACTGGCCAAGGCCCGGGAAGCTGTTGCTCTTGGCTGCTCTCTAGTGGTCGCCCGGGAGTATTGCAGCCATGAAATTCTGAGCCCTGCGGAAGACGGGCCTCTCACTCGCCCTGGCCGTTATTAAATGTTTTCTTCTCCCGCCGCCTCCTGCCCAGGGGGTCTGGGGCCTAGAGTCTTAATGCCTCGGAAGGCACGATGCACTGAGACTCAGAGCTCACCTGGGATGAGAAGGTGCTCAGTGGCATGGGAGACCCTGTCTAAATCGGAAGTTCAAAGAGACAGTGACCGGAAGGCTTCCAGCTGGTTCTGCAGCAACTGCCCGGCGGATCCTGTCCGGGCTCAGCCCCCTCGGTGCACGTTACGGGGACACTCGCCCCTACAAGCCTGTCCCGGGGGTTGGGGGATTAGTGCCGTGACTCAAGCACAGCCCTGCCCCTAACTGTCCTGCGCTGAAAACCTGGAACATCTCTCCCCGCCGCTCCTGGCCCCTGGGGTCCTCTGCGCTCCGGCTGGGCCCACCCACCCGCGTGGTCCCGTTCCCCGTCAGCCCGCAGGTGTGGCCTGATTCCTCGTTTTCAAGCCCTTTCTGGACGCTCAGGCTCCGCGTCTTTGCTCCCCTGCTGCTTCCCTCCGCTGTGGAACTACCTTCCAGATCGCATGCGGGAGCCGCTTCCTCTGGAACCGTTCCCTGGTGCTCCCTGCTCACCCCTCCTTTCCCGCCCATCGCCTCGCCCGACCGCTGTGCACCTGTGCGGTCCGCGCACCTGTTCTTGGAGGTGCATCGGACTCGCCCCTCTCTCCCTATCGACGCTAAACCACAGAAGGCCTCCCTAAGCAGGGGTCTACCTCCTGTCACGACGGCCGGCCCCCTGGTGGCTCGCAGAGCGGAGCTGTCCCCATGATGGGGCGTCCCCGAGCGGGGAGCGGGGCGCTGTGACAGTGTTTAGGAACGCCGCCCAGGCCCACCAGCAGCCGGCCTGTGTACTTCTCAGGTGAGAAACTGCTCGTCCGCCCGGGAGTTCCCTCCCTCTGTCTCCCCACACTGCTGACTTCCTCCGGCACCTCTAAGATAGGGAACCCTCTGGGCGCTGCCCAGGAGCCAGTCACGGTGGATTTCTGGGAGGTGGAGGGGATAGGCGGAGGACAAGAGGAAATTCCACAGGTGTAGGATCTTGTACGTGGGAGACATAAGGGATCCAGAGTTGGTGATGGGACAGGGTCAGAGGCTCCAGAAGCTAGGACTGGCTCAGGACACAGGCTGAGCAGCTGTCCCTGAAGACCTCGGGGCCTATTTCTCCAGAGGATTGTGTTTGTTTGTTTTCATTTTTTGATGATTGTAACCTTTATTCTTAGTGCTAGTGCACCGTGAGCTTGAGTGAGCCTGCGATGCTCATTCTTTTCATTCAACAACTATCTATGGAACAGTGATGATGTTCCAGGCCCACGGCTCTGCTAAGAGATAGGAAACACTGTTACATTTACCCTCAATGTCATCCTGGAACCACTATGGGTTTCTTTGCAGTTAAAAAACAAAACTGCGTACCTTAGATAAGACATCTGGAACTTGAAACAAAATAGGCAAATTCCTATCCTTCTTGGATGAAATCAGAAAAGTAGCAGAGGCATGAGGATATCTGAAGTAATCAAAACAAAGCAAGTTAGGACCACAGTCTCTGGTTTGAAAAGCCAAGCCCATGGTTGTTTCAGAGATGTAGGGGTCAAAACGAACAGGCCCAAGATGTACCACTCTGGCCTGCAGATTATTTTGAGCTGAAAACAATCAAGGCCCAAAAGACTCAGGAAGAAACTTTGACCTTCCCCTTAACTGCCTAAAAGAATTTAGAGGACCTGCTCCAGGAGGAGAGCTATCCCATAGATTATATGTAATATAATATCAACTAGGTAATGAAGACAGGGAGGAACTTCACAAAGTCTGTTGAAATTCATCTCTGTGTCCCATTGTTTCTGGATGGCCCAGCAAACATTTGTTTACCAAACTTTGACACTTTCCATTCTTCCTGTGAGTTGTTTTCCTTCCCTTTGAAGTCACCAACCCCTGCCCCCTTCTCCTTACTTAGTTCAGGATGACATATATATGACATTTGGCATGACTGTCTTTGGAATCTCGTGTGGGTTCCTGTATGTACAAAATTAAATTTGATTTTCTCTTAGTAATGAGTCTCATGTCAATTTGATTCTTAGACCAGCCAGAAGAAACTTGAAGGGCAGAGAAAAATTTTTTCCTTTCCAACAGAGATAACCAGGGGACACCCAGAAGAGTTGTTTCCCACCCCAGTCCTGAAGGGCACAGACCATTTGGCAGCTTCCAAAGGATGGCTTTGCCCTCTTAAGTGATTCTGGCTTCTGTGTCCTTTTGTTTTGAACTAACCAATGCCAGTTGTGAATTGTTGGGAGACAGTATACAAATTAAGGCAGGAAAAAAGTTGTTCATAAATGTGTAATGGGTGAAATGCAACCAGATCTCCTTGAAAAGACCTGTGTAGAAATTATTCATATTTAATAAGTGCAGGTTTTTTTCATGCCTGGTCTGCTTTCTTGGGAGTCTGTGTCCTTGGGCACTGAATCCACTCATTTCTTCCCGTGGAACATATTCTTCCTCCAACCACTCTAGAACATTCTTTCTTTCTAGTCAGGGGGTGTAGCAGTGAAACTGCGGGGACAATATCAGTTCTCCTCACAGGGTGTGACCTGCCTCGCAGCTGTTGTGGCTCGTTTCATCACAATATAAGGGGCCAAGGCATTCAAGGGGGCCTGGTCATCATAAACTGCTTGTGTGTGCAATACTCTGCATGTCCCTGGCATTCCAGAAATGGAAACTTGGCATGCCAGGAACACCTCTCCTCTTTAATGAGGAAAGATTTCATTGTTCATTGTTCATTTATAACTCAGGCATGTGAAAGGAGTTTGGTATTCCTGAGGCATTTACAGTTTCATTTCTCCTCACCATTTCCTTGGGCCCTGGTAGAACAGGGGCAGTGGGTCTGACCCAGCCCCTTCACTGCCTTTATCTTTGATTTGTGAACAGCCTGCCTTGGACTTGACACCCAAATGCTGACCTAGGGAGACCAGAGGCCACTCTAGAGCTGCTTCAGCTCTCAATAATCTCAAATCAAGAGGGCCTCAGTGTGACCTGTGGGCTTTTGAGACTGACGATGAGTGTGTCTTCCATGTAGCAGGGCAGTCTTCTTTGAAGGAAGGAGGTCTGTGAAGGCCCTGGTGTTCAGAGGTGGGCTTCACTCGTCTAGCCCTGTACGTGTGTACAGGGGCTTGTAGTTGGGGGTGCTCTGAGTACATTTCACTAAATGTTTCTTTCTGTTTTTTAGACTGTTCTGTGTTAGAACTACTTGTCCAAAACCAGGTAATACTTAAAGCACATTTATAACTTTCTTACTGAGGTCTTAGAAAAAGTTTTTGCCAAAACAAACAGCTTGGAACCCAGAGTTTAAACCAGATGAAGAGTTTTTAGTCGTTAAGAATTGTTGATACTTAAACCATCCTTTCAAAAGACTTTGCATTCCTATGTCGTCTCCCCGAAAGCGCCAGGCACCACCCTGGTGCATATCCAGTCAGTGTCTTTTGAGGTAGAGAAGTGCAGTTTCTCTTCACAAGGGCTGAGATTGCTGCCCAGATACTCTGTTTAGAAATGAGTAGAGCTCCACTGACCACTGAGGTAATGTCTCCTTACGACTAGCTCAAGGTTAGCTGGCCAGAGGGAAAACTACCCCTTCCCTTCTGACTGTCAATAGTCTGTCCTTTCTGATACTCCAGGACCTGGCTGTCAGTTGTGTTCTGGGTCTGCCTTCTTCAAGCCCTCATCCTGTTCCCCCTCCCTACCCCTGACCCCAAAACTGTACAATCAGGGAACGAGAGCACCATGCCCAGTGCTGCTTTACTTTTGGCTGCAGGGGCAGGTCTAACGGGAATGGGGCTAAGATGGGATAGCAAGCTGTTACTCTACTTAGATGTCAAACACTAGCCGTTTCACATTAGCTAGACGTGAGCTAGAGTTTAGATACAAAGTTAAGTAAAAATAGCAGAAAAGAGCAACAGGCACTTCATAGGTGCTCTGAAAATACACAAATCTGTCTAGCTGTTTACTGAGAATGTGGCTTTTAAAAGGAGCAGCTGATAAAGCAAACATCTATGTTATTGAAGAGGGGATGTGGGGAGAGCGTCCCTCACGGAGACTCACTTATCTACGGGCAGGAGGGTATGTGTCTCCCTTTTCCCCCTCTGATTTCTCCCATTTGCCCCCACATTACCTCGCATTCCCCCTTCCTTCCATTTCCCCTCCCCAGAGCAGGGCTATATCACCATAGCCGGGGACCAAAAGTAGAGGAGAAATGAGGAAGCCCAGTTATTTCAAGTGTCAGCACTAAAACGCTACTAACACACAAAGACCTCCAGTTTTGAAACACAGATTCATGTTCCATAGCAGTTTGTCTGGAAGTAGCAGGGCTGGTGAGATTGGCGGAGATCGTCTCAAAGGGATATACGGGCAGTCACTACTCTCTAAAGACAGTAATTTATGGTTCTAGACTTTTGATGGTTAAAATTAGTAAGTTTCAAATTGGAAGTGATTGGATAGGCAGCATCCAGGGACAAAATTCTTTTGTATTGTTGAGTGGCGACTGTCGAGAGGGAGGTTAATTGAGATCTCATCCCCCTGCCAAGCCTATACTCAGCGCCCACTTTTGTCTGAGAAACCCGGGCCATTTCTGGTTTTTGAACGCTCATCTTGGGTTTCTTAACTGACCAGATTTGCCCCTGATAATTGCCCCCAGAAATCATCTTCTGTGATGTCTTTCTTGCAACCTTTGCCCTCAGTGGCTGAGCTGTTACCTTTTGGGGATGCTGAGCACTAATGGCTTGTTTATGAGGCTGGCCTCACTAAGCCAAGGAATCTTGCCAAATGTTGGAACAGAAACCTGGAGAGAAATGGAAAGAGATCATTTTGCAGACTTTATTGCATTTGAGAACTGCCATCAAAACAATGACCAAAGTAAGCTAATGGCAGCTATATAAAAGCCAGCACTTTACAAAACATTTTTATTGGAGCCTTTTGAGTCCCCTGTAAAGTACCCAAGAGCAAACAGAGTTCTCTCCACTTAACAGATGAAGAAATCAAAGCTCAGACATTGTGATTTGTCAAATCACACAGCTAATAAGTGGATTCAGGTTTTCTGACTTTTGTGCCCACTGTATCTGGCGTTCTACTATATCTATCCCTTTGCTTCTTTATTACTTCCATCTGTTTATGCATCTATGAAGTCAGCTGAATATTAGCAACCTCCTATTCAGTCTCGGACTGTTTTCGGTCACAGGGCCCTCCACCCCAATTCCTTCTAGGCAGCAAAGAGGAAAGAACCACACTTTGAAGCTACAGACAACTGGATGTTTATCTCCGTTGATCCACTTTCCAGCTGGTGGCTTTGGACAACTCACAACCCCTCTGAGCCTCAGTTCTGTCCTCTATGAAGATATCATCACTTTACAGGTCAATGTACAAGACAGAAGGCTCCAGGAGAGCAGGGATTTTTGTTTGTTCCAGTCACTGCGGTATCAGGAGCCCCTAAAACAGTATTTGCAGGTACTCCCTGAATTGGTGTCCAGTGAATTCACGGATGCATGGGAAGTCCCCAGTTGAGCGCCTGGCTTAATAACAGGAGCTCAATAAAGTAGGCTTTATAGTCTCTCTTTAACAGTCCAGCCTCTATCTCTGGCGTTCGGATGCCAAATCCCGTCTTTCTGTCGGGCATTCGCTTTTTCCTAGGCTCTGAGCCTGCGCCCTCCCTAGAGAAGCCGGGAGGTCCTCCGAGCCGCCGGGAGAGGGCAGCAGCGACCTCGCAGTCCCGCCGGCCGGGAAAGGGCGCTCCTGCCGCGGAGGTGGGGGCGGACCCGGAAGTGCTCGGCCGCGCCCGCGACCCCGGCGCCCCGGATGGGGAAGGAGGCGGGCGACCGCCTTACCCCGGCCGCGCAGCCCCAGGAACTGCGGGCAGGTGGGTTACGAGTGGGAGACAGTCTTTCCGGGCCTCTTTATCCTTCGCCATCCCCCGCAGGCCCAAGGCTGGTGAGGGGCGGCGGCGGGCGGGGGAGGCCGGGGAGGGGGAGTAGGGCGCCCCCGGGGACACCTGCCGGACCCCACGGAGCGGCGTTGCGCTTTTCGGCTCCGCGGACCCTCCAGCCCGGGCGGCGGCCGGGAGCTCCCTGGGCTGGGGTCCCTGCTGCAGTGAGGGGTCTCCCAGAGTGTCTCGTTTGTGCAGCAAAACCTATCGTGGTCTCCGTGGAGGAAATAAGGTCGGGCAGTAAGAATTTTTTTCGCAGACTTGTTGGATGACCCCGGTATTTCTGACTCTTTTAAGTTTTTATTGTGAAAAAGGAGAAAACGTCGTGAGAGTCTCCCCTGTAGAAGTAGAATGATAACCCTTTAAATGATGTTAAACTCAGTTAATGGATTAAGAATCTTTAGTTTTTCTGAGTCCTTGGTTTTAGCCGAATAAACTGTAGAGCTCATACCTTTTTGTATTGTGCAGTTTACTGTGGTCTTTAGACTGGTACCTTTTTTTTTAAATAATAGATGCCTTTGAGATCTCAATAAATAAAGGCTCTGGATCCTATCCCTAGAAATTTGCATTAATTGCAGCTGCAAGGATACAGTGACAGGGAGTGTTTTTGGATGCTCTGAAGCCCATCCACAGACCTCAGGGATATATGAATCCCTGAGTTAACTGGTTTAGAGGTAGACATGATGTGAGGCCCCGGCTTCGGGGTCAGACTTTGGTTTGAATTTGGTTCCATTGTTTACCACTGTTAATTTGGGCTAAAGTTACGTAAGCGGTTTGAATCTCAGGTTTTTTGTTTTTTGTTTTTGTTTTTTTTACTAATTAAAGTGGAGCTAATGCTAACTTGGAAGGTGGGGATTAAATGAAAGAAGCTGCAGAAGGCACTCAGCACATAGCAGGTACTGAGTTAAGTAATAGCTAACAGGTGTCTTTTATTATCCATGGGATTATAACTTAAAGTCTGAAATGAAATGTTAATGTCCCCAATTATAAAATGGCCACCACATATATTTTGCTCCAACTTTTAATAAACTGAGTTGGTTTGATTTTAACTGGGTCCTTCCCTTGACCTTTCACAGCTTTCATACGTTCATAGTCTCTCTTTTTCTAGGAACTTGGCTGTATTGTCCTGCCTCAGAGAGCAAACTCATCTACTGCAGGCCTGGCCTGGGTTGCTGCCTTTGAAACTCGGAACAATACCAACCACAACACAGCATGGAATTTCTAGAGAGGTCTTATTTCAAAACTTTATAAAGAACAAGAACCACATGGAACTGGCCTGTGTTTGAGGGAGAGGATCATGTGTGCCCAACCTGGAACTAACACGAAGGAGGCCAAGTGGCAGAAGATCTTGTATGAACGACAGCCCTTTCCTGATAACTATGTGGACCGGCGTTTCCTGGAAGAGCTCCGGAAAAACATCTACGCCCGGAAATACCAGTACTGGGCGGTGGTATTTGAGTCCAGCGTGGTGGTACAGCAGCTGTGCAGTGTCTGTGTTTTTGTCGTTATCTGGTGGTATATGGATGAGGGTCTTCTGGCCCCCCTGTGGCTTTTTGGGACTGGCCTGGCTTCTTCACTGATTGGTTATGTTTTGTTCGATCTCATTGACGGAGGTGAAGGACGGAAGAAGAGTGGGAGGACCCGGTGGGCTGACCTGAAGAGCGCCCTCGTTTTCATTACTTTTACGTATGGTTTTTCGCCAGTGCTGAAGACCCTGACGGAGTCTGTCAGCACAGATACCATCTATGCCATGGCGGTCTTTATGCTCTTAGGCCACCTCATTTTCTTTGACTATGGCGCCAATGCCGCCATTGTATCCAGCACGCTGTCCTTGAACATGGCCATCTTTGCTTCTGTCTGCCTCGCGTCACGCCTGCCCCGGTCCCTGCATGCCTTCATCATGGTGACATTTGCCATCCAGATTTTTGCCCTGTGGCCTATGTTACAGAAGAAACTGAAGGCGTGTACTCCCCGCAGCTACGTGGGAGTCACACTGCTTTTTGCATTTTCAGCCTTGGGAGGCCTGCTGTCCATCAGTGCTGTGGGAGCCATCCTTTTTGCCCTTCTGCTGGTTTCCATCTCTTGTCTCTGCCCTTTCTACCTCATTCGCCTGCAGCTTTTTAAAGAAAACATTCATGGGCCTTGGGATGAGGCCGAAATCAAAGAAGACTTGTCCAGATTTCTCAGCTAAGTTAGAGACTTCCATTCTGTTATTAAGGCAAGCTGATAGACTAGCCTCCTAACTAGTATAAGATTTGAATCTTACAAGAGTCCCATTCTGGAAGCAACGTACCAATGTGGGTCGGGGAACAGAGATCAAAAGAAAAAACTAACCAAAGGCGTGGGTGGTGAAGGTGCTTGCCCTTTCTGTTATTTTGTGGATGAAAAAGCTTCCTGGGGCCCTCTTGAATTCTTGCCTGTCATCCACTGTAACAAAGTGATGTGGTTTCTATTTATTAAATAACAACACATCCATTAAGTTGTCTCATGATTTTTCTGTAAGCAGAAGGCTGACGGAAGGGGCGTGAAGACTGAAGAGAGAATGAAAATATGTGTGTTGATGAGTAAAGTCACTTCGCTCTACCTTTATCTAGAGCTCAAATGCTAGAATCCTGGATGCTGTGCTCTCTTATTGGCTAAGATCACAGAATCCGTCACTTCACCTTGACTCCCGAGTTTCTCCTTCGTTCTCAGTGAAGCATGGACACACTACAAGGGAGAGTGTGATGTTCATAATACATTATCAGAATGCCAGGGCATTCAGAGAGGCTGAAGTAGTTAGGAACTATTTGCTAGAGGAGGTGGCATTTGAGCTTGGTCTTGGAGGTTAGGCGGGATTTAGGTAAAAGATGGTTTTAGGGCAAGGTGGCAAAGGCCTTTAGGAACCAGGTCAGTAATAAGAACAAGTGAAGCCAGCAGACTTCGTGTGACGAATGGCAGCTGAACGCTGAATGGAGTGCACCCTGGCCAGCGAGGGCAGCCGCCGCTCCCCCTGAGGGTTTCTAGCCAGAACGTAGGCCTGGCTGCAGATCTGGAAAAAGTTCTGAGTAAAATCCGAAATGAAATCTCAGTATCGCAAATGTGATTTTTGTCAAATTCTGTCAAATTTAAATCTGGACAGAAACCACACTTGGATGCAGCCTGAGGCCACCATTGTGCCACATCTGTTGTTCAGGTGAGCACAGAGGTGAGGAAGTGTTTCATGGGGGTTCAGGGTTATGGGGATTGGAGGAAAAGTTGGAACAGGAGGTTTGCGTGACAGGAACTTGGGCTTTATACTGTGGGTCATTGGGAGCAATCCAGCTTATCTAAGCAGGGAGTAAATGATTAGATCATGGGCTGATTATGCAACTGCTCCGTGTCTTGTTTTTCATCTGTAAAGTGGGAATGGAATCTGTGCAGAACGCTCTGAAGAGCACTGGACATGTGGCACTACGTCCGTGTCGGCGGCCACTGTCACCAAGTTGATCAGTAGGAAGGCTGGAAGAAGACAAAGTACAAAACGCATCAGGTGCTTCCCAGAGGAGCTGGTGTCTCACGAAATAACTCACTTGGGGCAAGTCCCTGAACCATCTCACTGGAGATTAGCCTCAAGTCAGAAATTTCTTCAGAGGTAGTCGTCTTCCGAAAGAGTTCTGCTGTTTTTCTCCGAACATAGATTTCTCAATGTCTTGAACTAGTGTGTTCAGTACTGTCACCTCACATCATTCTTTTTCTGATTTGAATTTGGACTGATGAGTATAGTGTTTCATTAAAATGGGTAGTTTTCCCTAAGGCACGTTGGATTTTTTTCGCAGCCCCAAGGACACTGGCTCATGGGGAGAGATGATCTTGGAAACTGACTTGAGCTCAAAGCGTCCATC